TTTAGCTTGGTTGGCAACCTATGTTCCACTAAATCTCTATCTAAACCAGGCATATGTTCATTTTCCCACGAAAAATAATCTTCATATTCCTTTAATAAAGCGATTAATTTATCACTAACCTCTTGATAGAGCATTTGGCTGATGAATATTGGGCGAACTTCTCCTTCATTGCTAATATTCACTTTAATCAAAGGGTCTTGTACTTGAGCGTATCCAGGCTTGGCGATCCTCATCACTTCATCGTTCAATTCCCTTGTAGGCACTTCTTCTTCTAAACAATTCACCTTGTTGATTTCTCAACCAATACTTTGTTCCAACTCGAACACTGCCAATTTGTCTCTCAATGCTTTCAAGGCTGCTTCTTCTTTCATCTTGTCCTTGCATTCTTTATTGAAAGCCATTAATTTGGCTTTGAAGGCCTGAATATCGGCCATTTGCCTTTGTTGCTTACAACTCATTTAAAACTCCTTGATTGCTCTTTTGCCAATTACTGGCTCTTCTAGGGCCACTATGTTTGGCCTCATCTGACTGAACATTTTAGTGAGTGCATCCACCGAAAACAGCTCTTCACTCTGTGCGACAATTTGAGTTTCTTCTCCATCTTGGACTACTCTGATAGGTCCATAATTTCCTTCGTACATGAACCTTTCTACTGAGTTTGATTCTGCGACAAAAGGTCTATGATCGACCTGCACCACTTCTGCTTCGCCTTTGTCATTCCAAAAAACTAGGCATTGATGGAGCGATGAGGGTATACAGCGACTTTCGTGTATCCAATCCCTTCCTAATAACACATTGTAACTAGTAGGACCATCTATTGCAAAGAAGACTGTGGTCCTAATAGTTGTCCCTATAGTTATGTCCAATGGCATAACCCCTTTAGCTGAAATTGCTCCTCCATTGAAACTCGTAAAGACGACTTTTGTTGGGATCATATCGTTTTGTCTTTGCAAATTTCCTCATCATCCCAAATGGAATGGTGTTTATAGATGCTCCATTGTCGACAAGCACTTTTGCCACAGGTATGCCGTTGACTAGAGTTTTAACGTACAATGGCCTCAAGTGTTTAGTTAACTTCATGGCTGGCTACTTAAAATAACCTTTTCGGCAGCATCTATTTCCACTTCCTGCTTGTCCTCTGTCGAATTATCCTTTTGTGATAAGTCAACGTGCAGCATGTCGTACTGAGCTTCTGTTTCCTTTTTACTGTTTTCTAATGCTTCTTCTTTAGTTACCCAACCTGTGGGAGGAGGCATTATTCTTGGAGGCAATCCATACTTTTCAGAGCGAGGCGCTCTTTTTTTCCTTTTGGGCGTCCCGTACAGCACGTAATAATCGAAAGAACGCCCAGACGGCTCCCCGAACAAGTCCACTTCATGAACTACCTCTCGATGTAGTTGCTTCAACAGAGTATTGTATGATACTCCTGTTTTTCTTCTTTCTGCTTCCAAATCAATTTCCTCTTTGATATCTGTCATACCATCATCTCCTTCATCATCGTAGGCCCCTCTAGAAGTTTGGCCTTCTTCATATTCCAGCACGCATACTTCTTCTTCGTTATCCTTCATATCTTCTTCTTCTTTCTCTTTATTCTTGAACTCATTGGCTAACAAATAGTTATTATCCATGACATGAGGTAACGTACCGAACTGAATAGTAAGGGACTGATCTGGATCTTCTCCATATCTTCTGTCTCGCTCAAACTTCAACCTCCCAGAAGAAGTCTCTGGCAATTCTTTCATCGATTCACCCGTACCAGTCTCTTCACTGTCTTTGAAAATATTTTGATTGGCCACCTCGAGTAGCTTAAGCGCCTTAGGGCGTGGCATTCCTTGTTGTTGCCTCATCATTCGTCCATAGTTCTATTGAAACCACTTTCGTTGGGTTCTAGTCATCTCGTTGAAGGGTATCGCCCTTCCTGCATTATACTAGAACGAATGACATACATTTGGTTGGCGAGGCTGTGGCCTGAATGTTCTTCCATTATTCACTGGCCTGAACTGCCTTTCAAAAAGTGGTCCTCTATAGAACAATGTCCCTCGCCCTCTACCAGGCTGAGCGTTTGGAAAAAAACTAGAACGATGGTGATGCTGCCATATCCCGAGTTTCTCTGTATTCCCACTCACTTCTATTTTACATCTTGTACATAGGACATCTTCACCCTCTTTGGGCTCCTTCCCTTTGATACGTTCAAAGACACTGGGATGTGGTCCAAGGTCTTCTTCTCCATCATCTATAACCAACTTTAATTTTGGTAACTTGTTTTTGAAACCTGTCGTCACCATATTCACCCCAAGTGGCTGCGAAAAAGGGTTTTCATCTACGGCCATCTTTCTCTTATCCTCAAACGTAATTCGTCCGAATTCAATGGCATCCTGTAACACATGGCAAAAAACAAACAGTTATTAGACACTTGTGACCATGCATTATGCCACTTACAATATTTTTTACCCTTAACTTGTTCAGGGCTTGACAATTTATGTTTATCGCTCAGCTTTATCTGCTTATCCTTATATAGTTTATCAAATATAAGGTCAGCTTTGGTTACATCTAACGAAAATGTTCTAGCCTTTTTGTTTTCATCTTTTATAGGCTCATCTTTGCTCGATGGTCTAGGGTTAGCCATTATAGGACAAGTATACGTGTCTCCTTTGATTAATTCGGCCAAATACATTTCAGTTTGATTGTAATACTCGTCATTAATGGTATGAACATCAAAATTTGAGTCTCTATAATAAGTCCCCTTGCTAGAATTTTTCATTTGCTCTTCTTCTCTTATTAATCGTTCATACCTAATCACGTTAACGCTCAATTGGAAAAGATCAGAAAATTCCTTGTCTTGGAACTTCTTTTTCAAATCAAAGTTTAGACAACCTTGAGCAATGTTGACAAACTCCTTTTTGGGCAAAGGTACAAAACATTTACTTCTTGCTGTCTTGAACCTTTGAAGGAAACTTTCTGCCCATTGGTTTGGCATTTGACGTAGATTCGCCAAATCGGTCAAAATAACTTCGGACTCAGTCTTTTAAAACTGAGCGTGGAACAATTGCTCCAATTGTTGCCATATTTGAACAGAGTTCGCTGGCAAATTGATGAACCAGGAAAAAGTTACTCCTGTTAATGAACTAGGGAATAGCCTTATTTTATGGTAATTAGTTACGTCACCACTTTGCAGTGTGAATCGCCCTATGTGTTATAGAGTAGACACCTCTCCTAAACCGATAAATAGTGAGAATTCTGGCACTTTATACCCTCTAGGCCATGGATATGCTTGGTCTACCCAATCAGGGTATGACTTTATATAAGTCGGCCTAATGACAGGATGTACCCCAAAAGCCATATGATCCTGTACTATTTCCATAATTTGATTCCTCAACATGACGTTGGGGTCATATGGAATTCCTACAGGCTGGTTGACCGGTTGATTTGCTTGATGCCTGATATTTGGTCCTTGGTTGGCAACAAAGTTGCCATGATTTGGGCCATTGTTACCATTAGCCTGAATATTTACCCCATCATTAATACGTGGGGCATTCTGTCCATTATTTAGGACATTGTCTCTTATGTTTAAGTTACCCCCCAAGTTAGATGTACCATTGTCACCATTCTGATTTGGCATTACACCATTCCCTGGTTTGAAGTAGAGGGACCAAAAGGTGATTCTACCCTTTGATTTGGACTTAGGACTGGGGGATTATGTCCCACAATTGTCATAGTTTGGAAGTGATTTGCAAGAGGCACAACTGGCTGACAAATTTGGCCTACTAACTTATTCATTATTTCATTCAAAGTATTCAGTTGTTTGGCCATGTTATCATAGTGTGCATTCCCATTCTGAGTAAGTCTTTCCATATTATGAATATTTCGTAGATTTACCTGTTCAACGACATCCTGTGTGAGTTCTCCAAGTAATGCACGCATAGTTTGAGGACTCAACTCTGTCATTGGTTCGTAACGACTATGACTGCTCTGATTCTGTCCATCTGTTCGTGGAGAGCTATGTTGCTCCTCATATCGCTCGATCACAGACTGGACTCCTCCCTAACTTGCTTCCTTATCAGATTTCTGAGTCATATTGTTTCACCTTTTGTATCTCCAACACCAAACACCAAGGTCCCACTGGGCGTGCCAAATTGTTTCGCACGGGTAGTCGCTAACAATTAAAAAGGGATCAGACGATTGTGTAAGGAACAAACCTCTTGAGACAAAGTCTCAAAAATGGGTGTTTTATTGGCGATGACTTTACAATTCGAACTAAACAGAATGCCTCCAAGAGGCGCAAGCCCACGAGTACTGAAAAGAAATGTTTAAGTCTAAACTAAGAAATTGAAATTACATATTCTCTGTTTGAGAGTGTTTGATTCGGGTTTTTTGCTCTATGTCTTCTCTTCCTTTTATATTCTCTTAATGATTTCTTCGTGATCAATCGCTTAGAAACTGCTTGATGATTTTATAATTACCCACTTCCTTTATGGTGGCTATCGTGTCGTGGAACTGTCATCTCTAACTATTGCCACTACTCTTTGTCGTTCAACCGTCTTCAACTGAACTTCTTGAATTGCAGAACGTGATAAGGTTACTTGATAACTTCACTTCGGGATAACCATAACATCTTATATTTGCTAAGATCCTGGGCGATTCGAAGGTTTGAGCAAGAACAGGGTCATAGCTATGGGCGAATGTAAGGCACTTCATTCGCTCAAATCTTGGACGTCTTGCAAGCTTGGGCGATGGTGTTACCATGTTCGTGGGCCTCCACTGCATTCATTAGTAACCATATTTGGGCCTTTATCCTGAATTTTCCAGTTGAGCTTCATTCTTTGGGTTATTTGATTTGGGGATTCCCTAATTGGACTTCATTCCTTGGGCTATTCGATTTGGACTGCACTTTTAGTGTGTCAATAGATAGATTCGTAAATTTATGTTCAGTCTACTGTATAAATGCTGTTACTTTTCAATGAAAATCTGCAAATTAACTATCAGAATATTAGTAAAGAGAAATGGATTCAAACTCAGTTTTTCCAAGGATTTCTCTACTTGTGTTTTTGTTCATCTGTGCTGCTTATAATGCTGTTAATGCAGTTAACGTTTTCAATATCAGAGATAACAATGGAATTCCAGATGGAAAAACCGATAATAGTCAGGTATATATCTTCATCTTTATGTATTCAAATATTGTTGTAGCATTTGATGGCCATTACGTACGTACGTATGGTGCAGGCCTTGTTAAGTACGTGGGAAAAAGCGTGTAAAGTCGATGGGGGTACGGTTTTAGTCCCGTCTGGTATATACTATGTGAAATCTGCACTGCTTCAAGGTCCATGCATTGGCCAAACAATTTTCAGTGTAATGGGAACTCTAATGGCTTCTGCTTCTCCACTGACCCAAGAAAGTTGGATCGAATTTAATCAAGTAGATGGCTTGTCGATTACTGGAAACGGCGTTTTTGATGGTCAAGGATCTTCGACTTGGGCTCATAATGGCAATCACAATGCTAAGGCTTCTTCTACTTGTACTGCTGTAAGTTATTTCTCCAATAACGTATAATAGTTTTGATACAATAATGGGCTCGGTGATAGGGTTAAAAAATAGAGAAACATACGACGCAATATTATTTGACAGTTAAGAAAAAACCCATACAGGTGTTGCCAATGCAACATTTATAGAAGCCTATGTTTTTAAACCCTGGTTGAGTAGCATTATTGAACGTGTAAATGTATGAAAACGGTAACCGCATCATCTCATTTTTATACGTGTTTTCACAGTCCTTGAAATTAAAATTTGTCAGGAATTCATCGATCGAAGGGATAACTTCGAAGAATAGCGAGATGTTCCATCTCCATGTGAACAACTGTGACGGCATAGTGATTAGCCACATGTCGATATTGGCTCCGAAAGAAAGTCCCAATACCGATGGAATCCACGTCAGCTCGTCGAATAACGTACGTGTCAGCAACGTGAACATTGCCACTGGAGATGACTGCATATCATTGGGCCCTGGAACTACAAACATCGACATTTCTGGCATTACATGTGGACCTGGCCATGGTATTAGCATTGGAAGCTTGGGAAAATACCCTGATGAGAAAGACGTTGATGGCATTACTGTACCAAATTGCACTCTAAGCAACACTCTAAATGGAGTGAGGATCAAAACATGGGCACCGTCTCCGCCAAGCATAGTTTCCAATGTTACATTTCAGGACATTCTTTTGAAAAACGCTGATAATCCCGTCATCATCGATCAACAATATTGTCCCAGCAATTCTTGTAGCCATCAGGTACGTCTTTCTTGTGCGTTCAAATAATTCGATTTACATACGAATCTTACGAGTTACGAGTAACGAGCCATGTTTTGTGGTATATAGGGAGATTCGAGAGTTCAAATCAAAGACGTGAAGTTCGTAAACATACACGGGAGTTCATCCATTCCTGATGCAGTAAACGTCGTGTGTAGCAAAAGTATGCCGTGCCAAGGAATCGAGTTTTCGGGCCTTAACATTATTATGAATGGCAATGGGCAACCAACAACAGCTACATGCTCTAATGTCAATGCAGACTTTCTAGGAAATACTGTTCCTACACATTGTTCTTAAAACATTTTTAGTTGATTTTAACACCTATTAGATGATTTAGTTTAGTTTCCTATATTGTAATCTTATTAGAGATTTCAGAATAAGACTGATTTAGTTGAAAAATACTTCTCTCTGTATTTATGCTCATAATTTAAAATCCAATTGCATCAAAAGTTCTCAAATATGAATTAAGCCAAACGAACATAGGCTTTGACAAAATGGGTGACATAGTATTCACAACCGAGGTGTGGGTCCCATGAATAAAATAATCCCGACCTCCCCCATGTGTGTGTGCTATGTCAACCGAAGTGTCATTCTCTATGGCTATGTGGCACGATCCCTCAAATAAATAAAGATAATGCGAAGTGGGAATAACATTAACATCAATTTGTCCGAATGTGTGATCACATGTTGACAATTAAATTACAACAAATAAAAGAATATGAAAAAAAAGGAAAGAGGAAAAAGAGGAAATCAATATAGAGTAAATATGATTGACTTGAATAAAATATGTAGACATGCAATCAACTAGCAATTAAACTCCTTGGACATTTTGAAGACAAGAAGCAAGAAAACAAGCTGATTTGGATCTTTTGATCGGATGTGTTTTTTAAAAAAAAAATTCAAACTATCCAATTGCTTGTTAACACGTGGCACCCCTTTTTTTTACCCTGTTTTCTACTCAGGATCTGAAGCATCTTTCATCAACTAATCTTACTCGATATAATGTACCAAATATACCACAAAAATTAAATCAAAAGTCTTTAAATGAATAATGATAATTGCTCAATTGAACAAATATTGAAGAGGAGAAGAGAGATATTTGCTAAAATGTTGCCAATTATCAATCATACCAAAAATATACCAAATTTACTTAGAAAATTCTCGTTCGTTATAAAATAAAACCTCAAGTTTTCTTTCCTTAAATAATCTCTCAAGTTAATAATTAATAATAACTGTTGTTGGCGTCACTTAATAAGAAAAGAAATATTGAAACCATATAAAAACAAAAAACTACTAAAAATCTTATAATTTGTTCCAATGGTTTTCATAAATTTGTAAAAAAACTTCTAATTCATTTCCAAAGTATTTGTTCCCAATGGCAATGCCTAAATGTCCTTTTGAACTTTCTCCTATTTTTTGGCTTCCTTAACAACAATAAAATATCCAAAGTACTATTTTAACACTTCTAACTAAAATTAATAATAAAATATTATTTATACCACTATTTCAAAAATACTTTAGCACTCAATTGATTTGAATAATTCTATTAGGAAAGACAAGATGAAAGAAATCCACTTGCGATTTCATATCAAATGAGCACTTAAAAATTTGATAGTTGTGAGGAAAATGATTTGATTGCTTATTCGACCTCCTCTTTACTACTCTTGTAAGTTAGTTTTGATAATCTTTCACCAATAATTTGTTTGACAATCAAAGTCAAAACGGTGGTCAATTTACCCTTCAGGAAGGCCATCTTTACACGCTAACATAGTATTTTTCGACAAATAAATAAGCAAGAAGATGATCCGGATCTATTGTTCACTTAAATCCTCAGCTTTGAAATTAACGTATAAATATATGGTACGATACCATTCTTCTTACGGGTAGATCCAATCTCCTGTTCCCTGCGGAAAGGAAAAAGAATTTCACGCTCTTCCTTTCGGGAAGGGAGAATTAGGGAAATCCTCTTGATTGCAACTTTCTCTAAACCTCCGGGTACTAATACTAGTTTGTTAAATAAGTATTTGTACCATATTTTGGTGCGTGTGTATTGGTCCATTAAATGAGCACAATTACTGAGTAAAATACACCCTAGGATAAAATCTCATTCCTAATGTTTTAGTGCACTTCAAAGTTTTGAATTTGTACATGTGTATTTTAATGCTGCTATGCTGTCACGGAAGGTTTGACACCCCTTTCACGAGAGTTATTTTTTGAAATTTTATATTCACGCGGGCATGTGAGTGTAGGCCAACCAAGTGGGTAAAAATTTCTTGGAAAGTCAGCTTAATTCTCTGTATTATAATATAAAATTATTTAGTGCTATTAATAAGTTTTGAGTGTTCCAACAACTATGAAACTGCAAACATGGGCATCCAGTCTCTCGTTATCCAGTTAGCTCGCAACCCCAATTTCAATTTTGGGGGTCAGGGTTGGGGTAATTGATAAGGGTAATTGATGCAAAATGTCCCTATCTTTCAAGATTATTGTGGAAAACGTCATTATCTTTCATTTTTTGACATTTTTGCCCTTATTTCAACATTTAGTTGTGCTGAAGGTCATTTTCACTGTTTTGGAACGTAAGATGACAATTATATCCTCTTATTTAAAATTAAAAAAAAAAGAGAGAGAGAAAAAAATTCAGAACAAATTGCAACCCTACCCCTAAACTTTTAAAAAAGTGCAAATGAGTCCCCAATACTTAAAATATTGAAAATAACAAAAAAACACGTTCTCTTATCTTCCTCCCCCCTCCACTGCCACCTTTCAAGTCAAAAAATTCTAGCTAACCACCGGACCTTTATACCACCAGAAAGCCCTCACTCCCCTCTATACATACCATCTAATGGGCTTCCATTAATTTCATTCTAATGGTACAAATTCTCCTTCGCACAGGTTAGGTTTCATTTATTGATTTCTGAATGAATAACCATGTCCAGGCTACAATGGGGAAGACCCATATGCTTATTGGATGTGCCATGAGGTGTAGGTACCTCAGGTGGTGGTTCGCGACCATGGGTCCCACTATCGACGTAAAAAAAATCGCCTGAAAGGTGTACAACAATTGTGTTCGAAGCTCAGTCGTCTGGGTTTAAATGTGTGCATTAAAGGATGTTTGAGGACCATGGACAGGTACTTTTTAGTGTGTATCTAGAGGGTGTGTAGGGCATAGGTGTCGCCGGAAGTGAAGATTCCAGCCACTGTTTGTTGCGTGAGTAACCTATTTTGACTTGAATTTTCAGGCAAATTGATTGGAGTTATGACCGGATCTTGGATGGGTTGCGAAGAGGGAAGTGAGGGCTTTAAGATGGTATGTTAGTCTGGCCAAAATGGCGATTGTATAGGGCATGGGTGTTGCCGGAAGTGAAGATTCTGACCACTGTTTGTTGCGTGGGTAACTTATTTTGGCTTGAATTTTCGACCAAATTGATTGGAGTTATGGTCGAATCTTGGTTGGCTTACGAAGAGGGAAGTGTGGGCTTCAAGATGATATGTTGGTCCTGTGCCCAAGGTAGCTCGAGGGTGGAGTTTTGGTGGTCTTGTCATGGATTGAGGGAGTATTAGGGACTCAATTACACTTTTTTATAAGTTGAGGGACAGGGTTGCAATTTGTTCTGAATTTTTCTCTTTTTTTTTGTTTTAAATAAGAGGGTATAATTGTCATTTTACGTTCCAAAACAATGAAAAGGACCTTCAGTGCAACGAATGGTTGAAATAAGGGCAAAAATGTCAAAAAATGAAAGGTAAAAATTTTTTTCACAATAATCTCGAAAGGTATGAACGTTTTGCGCCAATTACCCAATTGATAAAGATGTTTTTCCTTTTTTAATCCTCTTACTTCTAATTTTTTTTCTATTTATTTTATTTTCCATTTTAATAGGAAACATAGGCATTTTGTAGCGGAGAAAAATGATGGTCCCGTCACTTAAAAACTAAGCATTGACCTCTAAGCTCTCCAGAATCGTCTTCTTTAGCATCGCAATTTTGGAGATGGGTTTATCCATATATCAAACAAAAGACTCATAGAGGGAGAGATAGAGATGTGCCTTGTTAATAAAGAGAACACAAAGCTTAAAGAAATTTTATTACTTGATTGGAAGGGATGGAGGAGAAGACCCTAGAGGGAAAAAGAAGAGGCTAGCTAGTATGACAACTCTCTCGATGGATGAGAGATTTTTTATTTATATTTTCTACTAAAAATTCTCTGAAAGTCTAATAAATTATAAATTCCCCGAAAGTCATTTTCAATTGAATACCTCAAAACTTATAGAGATTTTTTAAAAAATTCAATTGAATACCTCGTGACTTGTAGAGACTTTTTAAAAGTTCATAAAAGTTTTTATTGAATACCCCCATACTTTTATAGAGTTTTTAGAAGTCTCAATTGAATACATCAAAACTTTTTAAATCTCCAAAAATTTTTAAAAATCTCAATTGAATACACTCTTCTCAGAGATTGGCTTGCTCAGATTTTCATTGGCTGGGGGTCTAATGTAACACTTGTCAAAGAATGGGGATCTGGTGGAATTTAGCCAATAAATCCTCATTATACATTGCGGATAATTGAGTTAATTCAATAACGTTACTAATCTCCTATTATAGAGTTAATTGTTGTTAATTGTTCCAATGGTCACTAAATTTAAGTCTATGTCTTTGATTGATCACTGAAATTTAAAATGTCGAATTTTAATCATTAAACTTAGGTTGATGTCTTCGATTACTCACTAAACTTAGATCCATATTTTACATTGCTCACTGCAGTTTAAAATATCAAGTTTTGGCCACTGAACTTTGAAATGCCGTACGTTACTCATTAGTATAATTTGTTGAACTTTGAAAAATATTGAGTTTACAATGAGTAATGTATAATATATTTTAAAAGATCAGTGAGTAATGTACAATATTTTTTAAAATTTAGTGATCAAAACTCGATATTTTAAATTTCAACCAGCAATAAAAAATATAGACCTGAGTTTAGTGATTAAAATTGGACATTTTAAATTTTAGTGACCAATCAAAACATTGAGCTAAGTTAACTCCCTGCTATGTGATTATTAATGTAATTACAATCCTCTTGCTGCAACACAGGAACTCGTCCATCCCTGTACAGCCCCCAATCCGACTTCTCTCACAGTACCCAATCTATATTCCAATATCTTTACATATATTGCAGATAGATCCATGATCCGCATTGAAATTGTTGTGTATTCGTGATTAATTATTGTTTTGTGCATTTGGGGATATATCATAATGTATCAATGGAGGAAATTCGACTTCTTCGAGGAGAAGAAAAGCAG